CGGCAAGAATTAGGGGACTCAGACAACTATTACAAAAGACTGCATGCTGTCATTGATGCTAAAGGGGGCAAAACACAGTATTAAGAACTAAGGGTATGCAGACTTTTGAACAGGGGTCTTTCCATTTTTATATTTGTTGCCTTGTTTTGTAATTGTGCCATTCTGTTAGGACCTACAGTTGAATATGAATCCCATAAGAAATGTGCTTTGCCTGCTCACTCATGTTTTCTTTAAAAATGGTACATATATTACCAATTCTCTAAGGGTATGCAAACTTTTGAACACAACTATATCTATAGATATATATTGAACTGCATATTTAGTTTAACATACCTGGTCACAGAACACCACATCAAACTGCTCCCCGCTGAGAAATACTATATAAAAAGCTAGGAATATCATGCGAATGTAAGCACATAGAGCAAAACATTTCCCAAAAATACTTCGGGGAAGCCAGTCTCCACAACATGTGATGGAAATTCCAGAGTCCAGGGTCTCCGAAAAACAGTGGTTAACGTCATAATGAGCTGTCCACACCTGCACTTTACAACCACATGATTTCAAGGCCAGAGCTGCATCTACAACCAATCTCTCAGCGCCGCCAATTCCTAGGTCTGGATGAATAAAAAGCACTGTCGGTCCCATGACACTGTCGGTCAGTAACAACAGGCTGGCAGGAAAAAAGCTGTAGGAAACAAAATGTTACATTTATTTACATTGGTTGGTATTGGTATAATCACAGCATATTAAGGATATGAGGATTTAGGGAGTAAAGATTATCATTAGCTGTTTCTGTCAAATTATAAGAACGTGTGTGCTACCCCCCACGCTGCAAGGGTTAAACTAGTACTAAAGGCTATTTTGCTTTTTACCTTAATGCATTCTCTGCATTAAGGTAAAAAATGCCCCAATACCCTTCTACACCCCCTCACCTCCAAACACTTACCTACACTCCATGCTCTCAGACACTGGCTCCTAGATTATCTGTGGTGTGTCCCGAAGTTCTGGGTTGAGAGGAGGGATCCTGAGGCTACAGAGAGCAGGGCAGGGATAGGATGCTGCACCTGCTTGTCAAGATACTGTGAGGAGGGTGGAGGCAAAATCAGGGCGTGGATTGTCGAGTGCATTGTGCGTCAATGGACGCACGCAGCACAGCTCAATCCCCAGCTGGGAGGGCCCACGCACGGGTCTCTCATTTGGAACCTACTAGGCA